TTCCTTCCTTCCTTCCTTCCTTCCTTCCTTCCTTCCTTCCTTCCTTCCTTTTTTAGATTTATTTATTTATTTAAGTTATCTCTACACCCAACGTGGGCTCAAACTCACGATCCTGACGTTAAGAGTCTACCAACTGAGACAGCCAGGCACCCCTCCGCTCCCTTTTCTAAGAATTGAGGACAAGATTTTGCTGGCTCAGGTTGGGTGGGGTGAAGGCTTGTTTATAGTTTCCATGGAATAATTAGAACTCACTTTTGTGTAGCCCTCTAGTTGACTGTTCTGGGAGTGTCTTGTGGAAGTCTTTCCTGAACTGTGGGAGTCTGTGAGGAACCTGTGTGCAGTGAGACCAGAGCCCTGCCCTGATGGGTGGGCTGACATAATTATGGGAATGGGTGGCTTATTTTGTTCTTTGGTGAGAGGACAAGGTACCACTGATGATTGACGATGTGAGGTTTAAGATTTCAGTCATTAACCTGGACCGGAAATGTGATTTCTAGTACAATCTCCTTGGAGTCTGTGGGTTAAGGCTCACAGAAAGGAGCAAGTGGGGGCTTTCAGGAAGTAAAAACTGGATATTCTTAAGAGTCAAATCAGTCCTAAGTTTGAGGTTCTGTCCCTGGAAGGTTAGGGGGTCTTCTTTTGTAAGTCATTGAACTATACAATGGGGATTGGACTGTGAGAACTAAGTTGTACTCTGACATTTTATTTGTTTTGCGAGAGACAGAATGTGAGTGGGGGAGGAGCAGAGAAAGATGGAGACAGAGAATCCCAAGCAGGCTCCACACTGTCAGCACAGAGCTCCACTCTGGGCTCAAATCCACGAACCGTGAGATTATGACCAGGGTTGGACACTTAACCAACTGAGCCACCCACGCATCCCTGTACTTTGACACTTTAGAAAGCTACACAAAAGTGAGTTCTTACTGATTTTATCCCATTCTCCTCCAACTTCCTGTTCAGAAAAGACAGCACAAGACAATGCAAGAGTAAGAATTCGGAAGAAAATCCCTATTCCTCCATTACCTTCCATGCTGCCACCAGTCAACTTGCTTCATAGAGACGTGGTGCGGGCCTGGTGCCAACAACTGAAGCTGAGCACCAAAGGCCAGGTGAGGGCCTGGGGTGGGAGGCATTGCTCCCGGGAGGAGGGGTAGGAACCTTACTAGAAGGTTAACTCATTTTTCTCTTGTCTTAGAAATTAGATGCATATAGGCGGCTGTGTGAATTTGCTTACCCGAATCAAATGGTAAGTGATTTGTGTGGAAGGTTTAGTTCTCATTCTAATTACCTGTTTTAGCATCAAAAAGTGGAGGGATTGTCTTAGCTCCTCCTTCCGGCCCCACTCCTCCCCTGTGGGGAGGAAGAGCACCCCCTCCCCACCTTCTCACCAACTATGCACAGAGTAATAAAAATGAGGCTGAACTTTTATTTTTTAAAGAAAAAATGTTATTTTATTTTTAAAATTAATTTATTGTCAACTTAGCCAACTTTGACAGCACCTTAACCTTACCAACCCTCTTTGTAGAAGAACATTCCCCTCACTGCAAAGGAGGCCAAGATTCTCACACCATCACAAAAAAGGTCAAAGATGGACAAGGGAGAAATGTTTCTGGAAAATTCTAAGAAAAAGAGCTCTTCTCATGGAACCCACCCTCCTGAAGTGGCTGCTCCCCCTGAGGGTGGGATGCAGGCCCTCGTTGGGTCTGATCCTCTTCCGGAAGGAGTCGAAACGGTGGTTGTGACAACTTCAGCCCCGGATGCTGTGTTTGCCTCCTGGTCCAGAATTGCATCCACAGCTGGGAAGATGGAGACAGTGGAATCAACACAAGATGCCTATGGTAAGCCCAATATTGAGATCTGCCTCTGGTCCAGTTGAGGAAAAAATGCTATTGATAACTAACCTCCAATCAATTTTAGGGTATTGGGGTATGTCAGAATCACCTGAAGGACTGGTGGATTCCTGACCCCTACCCACAAAGTGTCTGATTCAGGTCTGTGATAGGGCCTGAGAATTTTACATTTTTTTTTCTTTTTAAGTAAATTTTTAAGTTTTAAAAAATGTTTATTCTTTAAAAAAATTTTTTTTAATGTTTATTGTTGAGAGACAGAGCGTGAGCAGGGGAGGGGAAGTGAGAGGGAGAGACAAAGAATCTGAAGCAGGCTCCAGGCTGAGCTGTCAGCACAGAGCCCTATGCAGGGCTTGAACTCACAAACCGGAAGATCATGACCTCAGCTGAAGTCGGACACTTAACCGACTGAGCCACCCAGGCTCCCCTAATGTTTATTTATTCTTAAGAGAGAGACAGAGAACGAGCGGGGCAGGGGCAAAAAGAGAGAAGGAGACACAGAATCCAAAACAAGCTCCAGGCTCCAAGCCCTCAGCACAGAGCCCATCACAGAGCTTGAACTCAGGACTCGAAAGATCAGGACCTGAGCTGAAGTCAGATGCTTAACTGACTGGGCCACCCAGGCACCCCTAAAAAAATTTTTTTTAATGTTTATTCATTTTTGAGAGACACACAGGGTGCAAGTGGGGGAGGGACAGAGAGGGACAGAGGGAGATATAAAATCAAAAGCAGGCTCCAGGCTCTGAGCTGTCAGCACCATGAACCTCAAGATCATGACCTGGGCCAAAGTCATATGTTTAACTGAGCCACTCAGGCACCCTGGGAATTTTCATTTCTAATAATCTTTTAGCCAGTGTTGATGATGGTAGTCTGGGGCCCGCACTTTGAGAACCACTACTGTAAATTATTGATGTCAGAAGGAAGTGGCAATCTGTTGCGCTATATTTCTTTCCCCTTTTTTTATGGAATTAAAAATAAGGTAGCCTCTAAAATCAGTTGCCTGAGCTTAAGCCCTGGATCTTCTAGCATCTGTTAAGTGAATGACATTAACTAGTTGTCTAATATAGTTCCCAGTTTCCTCATTGTAAAATAGGTTAATAATTATACCTGCCTCATAATGTTGTAAGAATTACAGGACATAAAATTAAGGGAGACTATAAACTGGTTAGTACAATACAATGCCTGTTGAGACCACTAAGTCTATTTCATGAAGGCCAGACTGTTCTGGTTTAGTCTTTCTGTTAAAGGAAACCAGAATATATCATACCAAATTATACCTATTCTAAATTGTTTTAAAATGTATAATAAAAACTGTTTTGAGCTGATGGCAATTAAGGAGCAGCAAACCCAGAAAAACATCCTTTTTTACTACCTAAAGGCAGATTTTAATTTCTCTTTTGGCTACAGACAATCAACTGAGAGACAGCACTGAAGACACCTGCAAACAAAACTTACTGCTTAGTTCCTTCCTGTAGATTTATCTTCCCACCGCCTGCCCTCCTTCCTCCCCCAGCCTTAAACTGCTTTCTTTTGTCCTATCATCTTTTTTTTTAATGTTTATTTATTTTTGGGAGAGAGAGACAGAGCATGAGCAGGGGAAGGGGCAGAGAGGGAGACACAGAATCTGAAGCAATTTCCAGGCTCTGAGCTGTCAGCACAGAGCCCGATGTGGGGCTCAAACCCATGAACCGTGAGATCATGACCTGAGCTGAAGTCAGAAGCTTAACCGACTGAGCCACCCAGGTGCCCCTGTCCTGTCATTTCTTTAGAAATTCATTGTTCTTTGTAAAAGATGTTACATAAACTGGAATTAAAAGCCGCCATTTTGAGTTCATTTTTGTTGGTTTCTTCCAAGTGATAAGTGCCATACATGTTAATAAACTGATCTTCTTTGGTGGATCTTTTTGTTAAGGAGGTCTCCCCCTCCCCCCAAAAAGGAGTCCCTATTGCAAACCTAGGATGGAGACGGGGAAAGTACCCCTTCCAACTATACTTTTAGGTTTTTTTGTTTTTTGGGGGTTTTTTGGCTTTTTTTTTTTTTTAAGTTTTCATAGGAACTATTTTGAATTATTTTCTAAAAGGAAGCAGGACAGAGTAGGTTAAGCTAGGATTCATATCCTGGGGCTGGCACTTGAGAAAAGCAGAAGAAACAAAAGACCTTGATACATTCTCGACCAAAAGAACATTAGACTTTGGTCATGCTGTGTTCATACTTCTCTCTCTTTCCTTCCCCAGGTGTCCGGTGGTGTGTGGTCCATGGGAAAAGTCTGCCTGCAGACACAGAGGGTTGGGTTCGCCTACAGTTTCATGCAGGGCAAGCCTGGGTGCCTGAAAAACAGGGGAGAGTGTGTGCCCTCTTTCTGCTACCTGCCTGTAATTTTCCACCCCCACACCTGGAAGACAATATGCTGTGCCCCAAATGTGTTCGGAGGTAATTACCCGGTGCTTTTCTACAAACTAAACCTGGACACCTGGTTTTTCGGGGGTGGGGAGAGGGAGGAGGAGACCCATGTTAATCTTAAATAGCCCTGTATTTCATGTACAAGTTGTCAGTAAAGAGTTCTAAGAAAATTATTACTTAGGTTAAGTGTATTCCTAGGAAAAAGAGCATTTATATATAGGTCAGGGTTTAATGCTTCCGCCTAGAGACCCACCCATAATAATGGAGAAACAAATACTGATTCATTACTATATGATAGGTATATGCACTTTACAGAAATAACTAGCAAAACGACAACACAACGCTTTAAGTAGACTGTAGTCTCATGTGGATGGACTGGTATATAAACACCTGTAAAAGCCATGGGATGACTTGTATCAAAGAGGTTTCTTTACTTAAAGGAAGAATTGCCTAGATGGAAAGAAGGAGAAAACTTATTTTTTAGTATAGGGACCAAAGCCAAGGCTGAAAGAAGTTAGGCCAAAGTAGAAACTGTAAGCATTTTAGTATGAAAGACTATGGTAAAAAATGAGTCTGCTTCCTCACCTTGCAAAATGGGCATAATAATGCCTGTCTGAAGTATTGTGGAGATTAGATGAGTTGATAAATATAAAGTGCTTAGCACCATGTCTGACATATGTAAGTATTCAACCAATTGTGGGTATTAATTAGGCCAGCAAGCTGAATTCCTTTCAGCAAAGTCATAAAGATGGAAACATACAATGTATGAAAAAAAACCAGTTTGGGCTCAAATTGAGCATTATAGATTTTAAGAAATAGCATTAAGTTGGAGTCTAATTATATCGTACATTTTGAATTTTAGAATTTATCCAGTAGCCAATGGTGTTCTTTTAAAAGATATCATTTAGTTATGTGATGTGATCAATGAAATATCTTTGTAATCACCAAACAACCAACTTTAGAAGCACAGTTATGAAGAGAACAGAAGGAAGGCTACAAAACGACTTTCTCTGTAATTTAAATTCTAAGACAATTGATGTCAACATATTGAATGGCTGATGAGGAATAGCTCTAGGGGGGGAAGGGGCCTGGTATTTTGTTTTTTTCTGTGTAAACTAGACTAGCTAATTCATTAAGATTGCTGTTTCTAAATAAGGGTGGGAAATATTTTTATTAAAATAAGCCACTGCAATTGACAAATGGGGGTGGCGTGAAGTGCATTAAGTACTGTTTTACTGTCTCCAAGCAGGAGCTGAAGCATTGACTCAGGGAGGGGGCAGTCCTCCACCGAAGTCCTCCATTTCCATACCTTTACACATGAGGCTTTCACTTTCTGGCCTCAGGTTCCACATCTCTTGTATGAGGAGCCAATGGGACAGGAAGGTGTGCAAAAATCACCTAAGGTATTAAAATTGAAAAGCCATAAAGAAGTTTACATGCCAGTAAAGAAACTTTTATCCAGAAGACCATTGTATTTAGTTTTATAGAGAACCCTGCACTTTTAAGTGCAGTTTTAAAGAAAAGGGTACATATGCAAACTTTTGCAAACAATATCAAGGGTTAGAGTGAGGGATGAGGAATCTGGAGGGGCACAGCTCTTTCTTGCGAAATGGGCCACTGAAGGGTTTTAAGCAAGTACCGAGGCTTACATTGCCAAGGAGAGAAGGGAGTGAGATCAGTTAGAAAAATCTTGTGGGAAAGTTATTTTTGATATGTTTTAAGGGCCTAGCGTCTTTGAGAGGTGTCAAAACAGAATCTGACTTTTAAGTAATATCAAATGAAGCTGAGGAAGGTACAAATGATATACTTGCTTGGATAATATAAGATTCAAAGCAGTCAAGGATACAGGTGGTTTGGTGATGCTTGACTATGAGGAGCAGAGACACAGAGAGCATGATTGGAGGGATCTGAAAGCACGAATGGAGAGGTGCAGCAATGAGATGCTTAAAGGGATTTTCCATTTGTGCTGTGTTGCAAGGGCGAGCCTAGGTGTGCTTCTGGGCTTAGTCTGGGACAGGGTTGAATGGAGAGGGAGGGTGGAAAGAAGATGATCCCTCTGAACAGAGGGACTTGGTATCGCCCAGACTTGCCTCACAGAGATCCCTCTCCCCAGCCCACTATGGTCCTGGAACAATCCTGCCATCCTCTGTTGGTCTGCACGGGGGCCATCCTTGGTGTCAAGACTAGTGAACACCAGAGGTCTTGGACAGCTAGCTAGGCACAGAAGCCTGAAGGGGGTGGGAGCCCTGGGGCCCTGGCATGGTTACTGTCTCCCACAGGAGGAAGTATGTGAGCATGAACTTGTCTTTTCTCTCTTCTGCCTGTCCTGCTTCCTGCCACAGTTGCCGCTGCCAAGCAAGTTGAATAAAATTGAGGTCACTTTGCAGAGTCCTTTCATGATCTACTGAGGCTGCTGGGCAAATAATAAAAGATCCACTCTGGGGCCTCTCCTGCCCATGGGCTGCACAGGGCAGGAACATATTAGAGACACATAACTTGGCTAATTATCACACCTTGATGATATGGTCACATGCTCTCCACCCACTATCCTACACTTTAAGAGCAATTTTACTGACAGTCCACCAGTGGGTTTCCTGGCTGTTTTCAAGGGTATAACTTAATATGTCTTGTTTCTCATCTTTATAAAAAACAAGCATTTTGTTTGCTTTCTAGGAATAAGGTGTTAATGAAAAGCCTCCAATGAGATCACGATACCAGAAAAAGGGGTACAACTGTGATTATAATTGATGGTAGGAAGGAAACTACCATCAACTCAGTGGTGCCACTGACAGCTGGACTGGAAACCACTCCACCCTCCACGCTTCCTGCTGACAGGACACACAGCCTGGTGGGTTGCAGATGTTACCCTCGGACACCAAACAGGGCCTGCCTTCCCATTGGTTTAAAGTACTTAACAGTTTGAAGTCAAGAGACTGAGAAGGTTAGCAGCCTCTAGAGGAGTCAGAGTCCGGAGAATGGAAATCCAGCACTGGAAACACACCTGTTCTCCACTCCACCCCTCCACCCCTCCACGAGGCTCAGCTCAGTCTCCCACCTTAAAAGAACTGTTAAGGTCACTTCTATTTCAGAAGGGTAAGTAAACATTTGGTAGTGTGATTGACTTTTTCATCTTATTAATAAGAAGGAACTTGGGGTATGATCTTGATGTTTGGAGGAGCCAGGGGGAAAGAAAATTTCCAAAATTTCCAATTCCAAACAGAAGTAGCAGATCTGCCTGCCCATAAGTGCACAAGCATTGTGTGTGCAAGGTATGAGGTCCAGTGGAAATGACGATAGGAGAAATCCGGAGTCAGCCCTCCAAATTTCTCTTAGCTCCAAAGGGATATGGACACATAAAACTCCCAAGAGCTGGTGTTGGAGTAACTGAGCTTCGAAGTTAGAGGTTCTGCCAAGATGTTGCTGGCTGAGGCAAATGGATCTGCATGAAGGAAGTCTATGAACTCCCTGCCAGGAAGCAAAATTGGAAGTGGCTACATCTCCGAGGATCCCAGCCCTAAGGAGAAGATGGGGAAAATTTTAAAATACTGATTCACTGAATTGGAATTAATGTACCTGATCAAGTGCCTCAAAATGTAGATTTTGCAAGGAAGGGCTTTGGCAAGGAAGTGCCTCAAAATGTAGATTGTGCAAGGAAGGTCGGCTATGTCGTGTTCAGTTTATCACCAAGAATGACACAAACAAAAATGTGTTCTCTGATGGAATATAATCACTGATGCTATTCTTACCAAAAAGATTTAATATGCATCTACTCATCCAGAGGCAGGCAGTCCTGATTATACCTGTTGTCTTAGCCTTAAGTGAGCTTACCTTGCTTTGGATGGCAGTTATTTAGGCTTATCCTATGTAAAAACTCACCAAGCTATGTATTTAGCATGTATATATTTTACCATGTATAAGCCATATATCACTCTTTTTAAAAATTTTTTAATGTTCATTTTTGAGAGAGAGACAGAGTGTGAGCAGAGGAGGGGCAGAGAGAGGGGGAGACAGGGAATCTGAAGCAGGCTCCAGGCTCTGAGCTGTCAGTACAGAGCCCAACGTGGGGCTTGAACTCTTGAACTGTGAGATCATGACCTGAGCTGAAGTCAGGACACTTCGACTGAGCCACCCATGTGCCCCATCACTTTTTTTTTTTTTTTAAACTGCCCTGGTTTGAATGGTAAATTATAGTTCCTCTAGTTAAAAGGGTATTGGTGGGAACAACAGGAAATTTGAATATAGAGTAGGGATTAGATGATATTACAGCAATGTTAATGTCTTGGTTGTCATAGCCACAGGATTTGCATTTAACACTTGGTTAATGAGAGAATACACAGGTGTTATAACAACTTTTATTTCTGAAAACTTTTAAATAACTTAAAATACTTGGTTGCATACATGAAAAGATCCTTTTGAAATACAAGTCAGCTCATGATCCCCTGCTCAAAACTCTATGGGTCCTGTTTCATTCAGAAGAAAAACCTAAGTCCTCGTTAATTCCTCCAAAGCCTTACTTCAGTATCTCCTACTCCATGCCACTCACCTCTGACCCCATCTCCGGTACACTCTGCCTTTGCTGTTCCTTGACCTTGTCACTGACCGGAATGATCTTTCCTCAGAAGTCAATATGGTTAACTTTGTTTACTTTTAAGTCTTTCTTCAAATGTAACTTGGTCAAAAAAAAGCATGCTCTGAACCCCCTCATAAGCTGTTTTTCAACCCCTACCAGCACCATTTAGCCTCCTCACCCTGCTCAAGTTCGTTACTTTTCTATAACATTTATCTCCTCTAACATAAATATATATTTGTTATTGATGGTCTACCACTAATAGTATGAAGGAATTTCTGTCAGTTTTTTGCACTTAGTTATCACAGCTTCCTCAAACAGCCTGACACAGTTGGTACTCAATAAATGTTTGTTCAGTGAGTGATATGTGGAAAGGTTTCAAGTGAACTGTAAAAGGAATGAATTATAAGTTACCTAGGAATCAGTATAAAAAAAAGTCTCTGTCTTCTATCTAAAAGTATTACTAC